CCCCACTAGCCCCAGGGGTTAGAACTCGCCTTGCTTAGCTACTCTCAATCGATTAATTGTGAAACTTGGTTGTATTTAGATATTTCAAATAATTAATAAATATTATTTCTATAGAAAAATTACATTACGCTATATCTTGGTTGAAAAAGGGTTGGAACATGTACCCTTTGTAACACTTTTCGTTCTACTATTTGTTTTTGTATTGTTTTTTGTTCATGGCAATATTTTCTTTTTTTGTGTTGTTTTTTGTTGTCTTGTACGTGACTGCAGTTCCCAAAATCTGTGATGTCTTACTGCCATTCCGCATGACGTCATACCCCCGCCACCAAAGAATCCCAGCGCTCCGCTTTCCTTCGTCAATGAGTATCCCCCGCACCCCTCGCTCCCCTCTAGCCCCATGGGTTAGAAGTGTTAGAACCCGTGTACTATTCCTACTAACTTCATCTCGAGTTTGCGCAGTTCGACGGCAAACAAATTTTCCACAAAGATGCTACGACTGTGGAAATTCGGCTTCGCGATCATTGCCTCCACGCCGTACCGTCCGTTCTATTTTGTTATTAATTGTATGTCTACATGATTTCGAACGTTTTCCATAGTTTTGCCGAATACCGCGTTGTTCATTAATTTATATACATTTTTCTCGAAATCGTTTTTCGCGCGCGTTCTAAACTGTGTATTGAGTTCAATGTAATCACGGAGCCAGGCGAATTGAGCGAATTGTAACATCCGATGGATCTTTGTTACGCGAAGGCCGTGACGAGTACATTGCTGCAGATTACGATATAATGGATAACGTAACGCCGTTTATCGTACAGTGTCGCTAGAAGTTTATCTTCACGCTTGTCGGGCGGCTTATCGCGCGTTGGGCAGGAAGGTAGGGCCGTGTGTCGGTCGTGTAGATACTGCAGGTACTCGAGATCAACCTCGAAAATATAACTGGTAGGCGAATCCGGAATGATCGCGCTCGTGTCAAAATTAGCAGCGTCTTCGACCCATCGAAATTTGGCGTATGACAGCGGTTGACACATCGCCCATTCGTACAGATTATTCACGTCGTAGTATATAAGGTACGACGATGGTTTCGACAAGTCGTACGAATGCATGTATTCGTTATTAGCCTGCGCGTATCTGCCGGAACATTGACTGAGGCCATCGCGTATACCGCGCTCGATGAATACTACCATACCGATGTCGGTGAGCAACTCAAATCTTACGCGCGTATGTTTCAGTATGGCGTCCCACGTGAAACCCGGCAAGGTGTAGTAATGCGCGGGATCGAGACTGTAACAGACGACACAACTTTCGCGGAAATTTTCGAAAATGTCAACTAATAACAAGACATCTGTTTTCAAGTACAGATCACCGTACTCGCCGAGCGTTCGAATAGAGAATCGCTGCCAGACGTTCGCGTCGTGAGCGTAATGGCTCTCGAATACGGTGTCGCCCGTCGACGAACTGAAAAATGATAGTAAGCACGTGTCCTTTTACTTTTCGACGCAGTCAACATACTCGTACGGAAAGACGCCCTTACGTGTAAGAAGATCGAAATCTTCAGCGCTGAGCTTGCAAAATTCTGACTGTGTAATTTTTAGTTTTTCTTTATCGAGATACGACGCCAATTTATCGAGGCTCGTACTTAAAAATTTAAAAGAATCGATGAACCTTAATTTTATACAATTTTTCTGAAAAATCTGTTTATTTTGATTTTTGGTGCTATCGACATGTTTAGTGAATAAAATGTATTTTTCCTTCGTTATCGGAAGGAGATCTAGATTTCCATCGTACGCGGTAGCAATTTCTTTAATTATAAAATGTGCGTCGTAGCTCGATAAATTGTGAAATACGACAGGAATATATAGCGAATTTTTATAATTTTGATTGCAATTCGAATGCACTGGACCACGGTATCTACCAGTGAGATGGCAATGATCGCGTACCTGCATTTCGTCCGGCGCGAACGGTTTCTCGCAGATGTGACGTTGCGCTATGATACGCCTCCAATTGCTGTTTAGACAACGTTTCCATGGGCACGTTAGCGGATACGATATTTTTCAAGCGATGCGTCAAGTCTTGGAGTCGTCGCGCGAACCACGCTATGTAGTCTTTATCGCGACGGAACTGATACGACGATAACGCGTCATCGTACGAGCATCGCACGTAATATCCTATACTAAATACCTCATGTTGTTGACATGTGTATGACGATGCGTCTTCCTTGTTGGGTTCCATCTTACGTAGAACGCACTCCAGGTCGGCATAGACGATGAACGGCACTCGTTCGTTATTGCGGTGGTTCCCAAACTCGAGCCACTTGTCGTCCACGCTCCGCAGTCGGACAGCGCAGTCGTTCATTTTGCCACAATTCACTACGTGTGACTGTAATTTTTCGTTTGTACTGAAGTAATGAAGACATCTGAAAAATAGAAATTATTACTATTATTTCAAGAAAAATTATAATTTTTATTATACTTACCGATCGCAGGAAAATTTCTTATTCTTGTCCCTAGTAATTTGCAATCTCACGAGACGGGACAGGTTCTTGATCCACATTAAGTGGACGACACCATCGTTGCGTGGATCTTGCAGATACAGCATGTTAACGTGCTTCTCCTTCTTATCACCGGTGAGGCGTAGAGAAAGGACCTGTTTATTCTCGATGCCGTACACGTTGATCGACATGTTCAAACGTTCGAATTTTGAAATGTCTTTTAAACTCATTGGAAATTCGATACCCGTGAGATTCAACGCTGCCGTGTAGTGCAGGTATGATGCTTTACGATTCACATTTCTTTCTGCGGAGTACAGGGCGGCGACCACCGACCACGTGAAGCACGCATTGTCCATGGATTTCACATTGATCACCGCCTTCTTTAGCATAATTTCTCGCGGTACTTCGGTGTGACATCCCGCGTGCATGGTATTTAGTTTGTTCACGTTAATAATCAAGTTGAGAATTCGCGACAGAATGCCCACCCGCTGTCGCGTTCCTGGAACTCTTCGAGTGATACCAACGTGGGTTCGACGACATGCACTCGTCGTACCACTCGGGTATATCGGTGCATTGATATATCTCGCTGTTCTTTGTAATTATGCTCTTATAAACACGTTTACCTTCGTCGCGAAGTCACCGTTGAACGCTGTGTTCACTTTCACACTACCGTGTTTTTCTACAGCGTCCCGCACTCGCTCGAGCACTACATCGCCAGCGTCTTTCAAAAACTGTCGCGATTCGATGCGATTAGAATTTATCACCGCACCAGTTAGAACACGGTTTTCGAATGCTCGCCAGACGGGAGATCTTTCGTCGCCACTCGCGTACTCGCCACCAACGTGCACGAACCGTTGCTCCAATTGCGATTTTGCACCCGCGAGTTGCGCGATCCTCGTCACCGCGGATTGTCTGTTTCCAACGGTGAGGCGCGGACGCTTGGTACGGCACAATTCTTCGAGCCGCTCCATGCACTCGTCGCATCGTTGAAGCCACGCGAAATTCTCCACCAGAGTAGCGACCTAGCCGCTCTGTTCCAGCAGTTCGCGTTCCACTCGCTCGTGATTTTTCATGTTCTTTTTCACAGTTTTTAGATCACGTCGCACTCTTCCACTTGCACGTGACTCGTTCACAGCCCACATTCTCACTGGCCGCACCACCGCTTTATATCTATAATTTTATAATAACTTAGCACGTCGAAATTATGTTTTATGAAGGCGGAGAAACACTTGCAACAATCATCGCATCCATCATCACACATGCCTCAAAAATATTTTTTTTTACAGCGGGATCCTTGTTGCGATGATTCATCGTTCTTACAATGATCGTTGAATCATCACGTGTAAACTTTCCGCCGCGCGAATAAAGGCCAGAAATAAACGGGCTCGTTGCTAATGTGTACCTGTTTCATGATACGCTGGCCTGGGGTGATCCCGATTGACCACGGCTTGATTGGACACCACCAATCACAGCGATCGGTGCTTAGGAGCTTTGTAGTCTCAAGCGCTGTGAGTGGCTTGTGTCCAATTGAGCCGTGTCCAACTGGGTGCCACCCCGCTCGCCTCATATTCCTAATTCTCAATCGCGTATCGTTTTTGGTATTGAAAGAAAGAATTGCGAGAACGCTATACGCGATTGCGATATATTCGACAAGCATCATCTCGTCGATTGCGAGTTATTAAATTTAGTTTTTACCATGGTAATACGTATGAAAAACAGTAATATAATAAAATGCGAATAAAAATGTTTTTGTTCACATCGCTATATGTGTACTGTCTTTGCTTCCCATCCATTATATCCTATGCCTCGACGCGCTGTCACACTTAGTTTATATAAACGCGTGCATTATAATCTAAAATGTTTAATATACAACGGTCGCCCGTAACTAATATCCCGGGCAGCTTCGCCGCAGCGAAGGATGATTCTCAGCGTTAGTCTTTGTCGAATTGTGTCGCACGAAGCACTGTATTCGATGTGAGTGACTTCCATCTGCAAAAGTATTCTGCCAATAGTGGCGGAATATTTTTGCATGTTGAGTGAATTTTGTGATTAAACTTACAAAGCAAGGAAGAGCTGTTCTACGTCCTCGAAGAGGCGCTGGAAGAGGAGCAGGAGGAGGAGGAGGAGCAATAGACTAGGAGTAAGCGAGGAAGAGGAAAAGAAGGAGGAGATAAGTAAAAATATCTCGACTTAAGCGTCACATTTTGGGGAAGGTGGCGGTCTGCGACGCATTTTGGGGAGGCTCGCGGCGGCAGCAGCGGCACTCAATGCGCACCAGTTCTCTCAGTGAAAAACGCTATAAGTAAGAGGTAGATATCATCTGAACTGTGATGTTTTCGCCAGTTTTTAATTGGCGTTGGCAATATAGTAGTATTACATACATGGGTAAAAGTTGCTTCGCGTGGAAGTCGTGCGCCCCTGAAGAAGGGGGGGAGATGGAATAAAAGTCGCTTCGCGAGGAAACTCGTGCGCACCTAGGCATCGAAGCAACGTTTACAAAATCCATTCCAGCGGTACATAACTTTATGTAAACATTTTTGGCATTAAACCTTTGTGTCGGTGAAAATATATTTAAGGGCATTTATTTGACATCATTTAGAGTATTTCTATTAAAATTCATGATAATTGGGCGTTTGAAGTTTACAGAAGTTCACCCATATGTGTGTATGTATATATATGTTAGGCTCAATTACCGAATTCGCTCACAGAGCGAAAAAACTGAACACAACGCATTATAGCTTCAGCCACAATGTTAAATTCGTGCCGTGGCCCTTTCAAAAACGATCATACCGCGGTCGTTTATTATGAATAAATGAATGTGTAAATGATCGTAACACGATCATTAATCTGTCATGTAGACAGTGGAGTGTATAGACTAGTTTTTATTGCTTCGGGGAGGCTACGCCGCCCCGAACAAAAAAAACATATTCTGCCTGCTTGGGGCCTAACTGCCTAGAAGTTACAGTCTAGACATAAAAAGACCGCTCTAAAAAGACTGTTCTCACACTCCACTGTTTTTGTGAGTTAGAAATATTCCAAGCGGACACTGTCTAGGCTGCAACTTCTAGGCACTTAGTGGCTCCATTGTTAATTGCCTTTGTATTTCAGATCTTGTTACTATAATTTTTGCATTTCGTATTCCAAATAGCAGGGTGAACCTCTATTTCTACTATGAAGCGTTCAGTGTCGAATGGCGGCATTCTTCCCCACGGCACAAACAGATTTTCTCTTAAACTCTACAATAAATCTACAATATTAAAATTTACAATATCTGCAATTAACAATGGATGAGTTATAATGAATAAACTTAATTTTTAATTTTTATTTATTCGCGTAATGTGTAAACGCACAGCGTAATTCTGTCAATTGAGAATTACGGACCTGAGATGTTTCTTTGTCGCGCCACGAAATATTTCGTCTGAACGCATTCGCAGCGTTTCTCTGTCACACCACGAATTCGCCCATCTGAACGCATCCGCAACGTTTCTTGTCGCGTCACGAATTGGCTTATGTAAACGTATTTGTGACGCTTTACTGTAGCGCCAGAAAATAGCTCCGTATGAACGGGTCGACATTTGCGATTGTGACTCTACAAAGTCGTTCGTTTGGATGAGCCCTTACACTTTACTACATGACAGGATTAATGATCGTGTTATGATTATTCAAACATTTATTTATTCATAATAAATGACCAGAACGCGTTGTGGCATTTTAACTTAGTTAGAACGCGTATTGATCGATTGTCAAGAGAACCACGACACGAATTTCGCTTTGTGGTATTTTTTAATATGCCAGAACGCATGTGAGCGTTTTTGAAAGGGCCACGACACGAATTTTGCATTGTGGCTGAATCTCAAAAGCCATAACGCGTTGTGATCGGTTGTTTCGCTCTGTGAGCGTTTTCGGTCTTTGAACATAACATACGAGGTCTGTCCGGAAAGTATCGGGCCTACCTTTATATCTCCGCTCTGGCGTTATTCTGGATCATCGGGCGGGTGGCATCCTTCGAAGTAATCCC